GTAATTAAATGTGCCACGCCATCCACTCAGACACCTTGCAGCTACAGCCACATGGACAATTGTGGAGCGCTGAAGTGTTAGAGATAAGAGCACATATTCCCCAGGCACAGGCTGCGATGTTTTCACGTATTACTGCAGCCAAAGGCTCTGCCATGTTCTGGTAGCCTGTGGCAATGGCAAAGTGGAGCTGGGAGAATGAAAGCTCCTCTTTTAAATACTTCCTGAGTCACTACACAGCCTTTCCACGACTCAAATCATTGCCTGATGGCAAGCACAGCGGGGACAAAGTGGAACAGGGCACCTGCTGCCGCAACTCAAAGAGTAATTTAAAACTGTTTGAAAATGAAACACTGATGATTGCTTCCTTTGGTCTTCTCCATTAATCACATCAAGGAATTGGTGGAGGTACTTCACTTAAGTTTTCTGAACATGTCAATAACCCACCACATATATACCAACTAAAATAAGAAGAACAGAAAATCAAACACGTATAATAAGAAGATAAGCTAACATTATTGCAATCCAGTGGCCACTAACTTGTTCTGAGAGCCTCTCCAGCCTAGAGACAAATAAACAGAACCAAAGAATAAAAAAATAACATAGCAGGAAATGACTGCTTCTTGAGTGCCCCAATAACACAAAGGCAACATGGGTCTGAATTCCAGAAATGCAAACTCTCAGCTGGGAGCAATGAGAGCAAGAGAACAGGTCTGTGTTCATCCCCACGCGGTGCTAAGACCAGGATGAACTCATCCCAGAGCACAGGCTCGGTGCTGGGGGACCAGCTCACCCAGGGCCTCTGAAAGCACAACTGTCCCTTTTAAAACTTTGTAAGAGAGTGAGAGATACAGGCCTCAAATCACAGACTCAGGAAGAGGAAGCTAAATGGCAAAAAAACCCCAGTAAGAATAATCTCCTGAAGTTAAGGGAGTTTCTGTTATAGACGTGCTGAGAAGAGAGGCTATTACATACCTCTTTCCTCTCACCCTAACTTGCCCTAGAAACAGTTTGTATTGTAACTCTAATACTCTGGCATTCGGCTAACCTCGCCTTCGGTCTTACTGTCCCACCCGAGTACTATTAGCTCTCTGCTAGGGACATAACCCACAGCTGCTGATGCCCGTGTGCAGAGCTGGTGCCCTCTCATTCTAACTTTTAAGAGGGTACCAAGCGTCCTGGCAGTAAAAAGAAGGGTTGAGAGTTTGTGCCAGGGCCATGAGGTGCTCTGATTAAGATTCATAAGCTGCTCTTTTTCTCATGGTGTTATGCTCTAAAACAGCAAGAGAAAGCAAATGTGTAACTAAATACAAATATGAGATAATTATATAACAACAACAATAATTTCATAATAATTGCAAGGATTAGAAAAGTGCCTAGAACAAACATGCTGTGCCAGAGATGAACAGTAAATTAGACTCTTAAAATGTCTTCATGTTTAATAATCTAGAATGCTGTTAAATTACAGAGGTAAAGCTATCATCAATATATATTTTATTTCCACAGTGTCCCTTTGTTCTTGTCATTGTTGGTTGGTCACCTTGAACAGAGAGGGGTGGGGATAAACGCTTTTGAAGATTGGAATATATGCTGGGTTTGATTTACAGCAGAGGTTTGATGCCTCCTTGATGTGACCCCTACTGTCATAAACAAACAGACAAACATAAAAGCAGATCAACAAACATCTGTTTTTTTATGACACTGACAGCTCACCCCAAGTGTTGTTCC